ACATATCAATTCAGCTGTTAAAATATGTTTCCTAATTCAGTTTCTAGACCAGATAAAAAATTAATATCCAGAAAACATTAGTCTTATCATATTTAACCTGCTGGGATAGCATAACAAAATAAAGTATCATATATTATCTGGGGGATAGTATTTTTGTTTTTACTGCTATTGTATTGTCTTAAGAATTCAGGTGTTCAAGTTTACAGAGCAACAAAAATAAAGCAAATGTATCTGAAAATGTTTGTGCAGCTGTTCTTGTAATCTAGTGAGAAATAATCCTCAATCTTATCTTTTACTGTGTTTCATTATTATACACCATGTCAATCACAAATCCAAGTATAATAGTTACATCTCATGCTTTTGCTATTTTGACTCTTTCTTCACTACTGATTTTTTCCCCGGTTTTCCCTGGTGATTTTTAAATGTGTCCGACACCTGCTTGGTGCTTTTGGCTATTACAATTCAAATCAGGTTTTTATATGTCCTAAATGTCTGGGGAAGGCAAGTTAACCAAAGTGTTAACTATGGTTAAATGTTATGGAATATGCTCATAGAAACCCAAACTCACTTGAGATAGAATTACATGTATGTAATGTGAGTAAAAGACCTGGAAAATTAATAAAAAGTACAGCAGCAGGTCATACAGAAAGCTATTCTGGGAAATCACTTCAAAGAAATTGAAAACTGGCATTAAGCACTAGGCAAGAAATGCCTTGGGCAAAAAACAAACAAAAAACACAGCTAAATTGAAGAGTGAGAGAGGAGGTAAGGAATAGAGTTCAAGCCATTTCTTTAAAAATATATAATGCAAACTTTCCCAGCAGTTCATTCATTTAGTCAATTAATAGGGGTAAAAAACAATTCAAATTTTTGAACATACTAAAAACTACAGTTATCACCCCAGTCATTTTTAGAATATTTTTTTTAACATTTTATTAGGGGCTCATACAACTGTTATCCCAATCCATACACACATCAATTGTGTAAAGCGCATTTCTACATCGTTTCTCAAAACATTTTCTCTCCATTTAAACCCCCGACATTAGGTCCTCATTTTTTCCCTCCCTCCCCGCTCCCCCCTCCCGCATGAGCCCTTGATAGTTTATAAATGGGTATTTTGTCATATCTTGCCCTGTCCGACGTCTCCCTTTATCCACTTTTCAGTTGTCTGTCCCCCAGGGAGGAGGTCACACACAGTTCCATGTAATCGGTTCCCTCTTTCCTACCCATTCTGCCTTTACCCTCCCTGTTTTGCCACTCACACCACTGGTCCTGTAGGGCTCATCCATCCTGGATTCCCTGTATTTTCAGTTCCTATCTGTACCAGTGTACCTCCTCTGGTCTAGCCAGACTTGCAAGATCGAATTCGAGTCATGGTAGTGGTAGAATATTTTTTTAAATCATCTTATTGAGGGTTCGTACAGCTCTTATCACAATTCATCCATCCATCCATCCATTGTGTCAAACACATTTGTACATATGTTGCCATCATCTTTCTCAAAACATTTGCTTTCTACCTGAGCCCTTTGTATCAGCTCCTCATTTTTCCTCTCCCTCTCACCACCGACCCCCTCATGAAACCTTGATATTTTATGCATTATTGTTATTTTGTTATATCCGATGTCTCCCTATACCCACTTTTCTGCTGTCCATCCCCCAGGGAGGAGGTTATATGTAGATCCTTGTAATTAGTTCCCCTTTCCTACCCCACCTTCCCTCCACCCTCCCAATACACCATTCTTGCAACTGGTCCTGAAGGGATCATCTGTCCTGTATTCCCTGTGTTTCCAGTTCCTATCTATACCAGTGTATATCCCCTGGTCTAGCTGGATTTGTAAGGTAGAATTGGGATCATGATACTGGGAAGGAGGAAGTATTTAAGAACTAGAGGAAAGTTGTATGTTTCATCGTTGCTATACTGCACCCTGACTGGCTCATCTCCTCCCCATGGCCCTTCTGTAAAGGGGGTGTCCAGTTGCCTACAGATGGGCTTGGGGTCCCCAGTCTGCACTCCTCCTCATTCACAATGCTATGATTTTTTTTTTCTTTGATGCCTAATGCATGATCACACGAGCTGGTGTGCTTCTTCCATGTGGGCTTTGTTGCTTATGAGCTAGTTGGCCGCTTGTTTACCTTCAAGCCTTTAAGAACCCAGACACTATATCTTTTGATAGCCAGGCACCATTAGCTTTCTTCACCAAGTTTGTTTATGCACACATTTGTCTTCAGCAATTGTATAGGGAAGGTGAGCATCATGGAATGCCAATTTAATAGAGCAAAGTATTCTTGCATTGAGGAAGTACGTGAGTGGAGGCCCTATGTCCATCTGCTACCTTAATACTAAATATATAAAATGTGCACATATATCTATTTCTCTATCATATGTAAATATGTTTACATATTTAGACCTCTATAAATGCCCTTTGCCTCCTAGTTTTTTGCTCTATTTCCTTTTACTTTCCTCATGTCCCACTATCATACTCAGCCTTCATTTGGGTTTCAGTAATTCCTCTGGGTTACATTGCCCTTGCTGAATCCCTACCAGGCCTCTTACACCCTCCTCGCCACTGATTTTGGATCACTTGTTTGTTCCCTTTTCCCTGGGTTTGCTAACACCATTTCCTTTCCCCCACCTCTCCCTCTCCCGTGTTCCCCCCGAAACTGTTGGTCCCATTGTTTTCTCCTCTGGATGATTTATCCAGCCTATATTATCTAGATAGACATATTTTCATCTTTCTTGTATTCATTATTAGTTCCCATTTCCTCACCAGTCTCCCTCCTCTGTAACACCAAGAAACTATTACTCCTATTATTGCCTTTTATTGATTTACCTCTCCTGAATTTTGTATAGAAAAAAAACCCAGAGCAAAATAACAGCAAAACCAACAAAATAAAACAGAAAGAGATCTAATGTTTTTAAGGAGTTAAATAATTTAAGAGCAAATTCAGCAGTGACTTACCATACTATATAGGACACCTCTACACTAGTGAAAGCAAACCCAAAACCTCTTTGTTGAGGAACCAAATAAGACTCATGGTGATCTCATGCGTTACCGCTCTCTGTGCTTTTCTTCAATGTAATCTTTACAGAAGCACATCACTGGGCCCTGCCATGGTGTCTGGGACATGCGCAATGGCCAACTTTTAAGTCAGTAGATAGACACAAACGTTTGCCTACCAAGGGACCTTTCTGTCAGTCAAGGATAAATGATCCCTTGTCTGTAACGGGTTTTGATACCATTCATTCCAATCTTCAAATTAACAGAGGAGCCCTGGTGGCATAGTGGACTACACAATGAGCTGCTAGTCCCAAGGTCTGCAGTTTGAACGTGGGCCTTGAGAGAAAGATGAGGCTGTATACGCCTGTAAAAATGCAGTTTCAGAAACCCAAAGGGGCAGTTCTACCAACTGGATGGTGGTTGGTTTGGTTTGAGTTTAGAACAGCAGTTTAGAAAGAACTCAGACTTCGCCATTGCTGTTTGATATGCTTACTAGAAATACTGTTGAATGTAAATTGAGAGTACTATTATTTAAATTATTAAGGGGACATTTATTTCTTGTGAGGACTAAGAGCAAACAGTGAACATTATAATTTTTATAGAGAAATCTGGACCGAGAACCAAAGATTGCTATTCCTATTACCATTTCACCCACTTCACAAGACTTTGGTCATGCCAGTTGGCCTTTTTGCACTTTGTTTTCATCAGCTTTTAAGTGACGTAGATTAGATTGAATGACTCCCAAATACCTTTCCAATAATAACATAATCCATTTGTTTTAATTGATTGCTTAATTTCCAAGAATTAGATGTATATTTGACTGCAAATTGAACTATGGTAGTTTGTCCTGTGATCCCTTTTCTGTCGATGGTACAGTAAATTGTAATATGGTAAATATCCTTGAAACTGATGAAAACCTTTGCAAATTTCAGTGTCAGAATACAGTGATTTTATACAACTTGAACTTCAAAGTTGAAATAACCTCTCTTGCTGCTGATACTGCTTTAAGTGCTCATAGAATGCTAGATCTTTATAATATATCATTTCATCTGTTGGTGTTGTATTTAGCTGTCCAGTTTTCTAGGTAGATACATTAACATGAAATTATGCACAGAGCTACCTGATGTCTAGAGACTCTGGGGAAATCATTTTGATGTCTGTTAGGCCAGACTATTTGAATTATTCCAAATCACGTTTTCTTCACAGCAAGTAAAGAATCAGGGTATTTATTAGTAGAAAAATGATTAAATAAATTGTAATATTCTCATTATTGGAATACTGTGTTGTCAGAGTATGCATGGAAGACTGGATTAGGGAAGAAGTTTGGCAGAAGGGGAGCCAGCAAGGATGGTGTTTTATAGCCACAATGCACTGTCATATACCTTTATAACCTATCATTTGTTCTTGAGGTTTTGACAAAATTTTAACGGTCAAAGAACAATTATTATTTTTTCACACCGACTATTAAGTTTCCAAGGTAGTTGCAAATCTGTTCCATGTTTTATTAATTTTAAATCAGTTTTTAAAAACTTTGTGTTTGTTTTTGGTTGGCTGTTTTATTTTTTTTATTGTTTTGAGAGAAAGACATTGTCACTTAAGGGCAAGCATCCTTTCTCACCTCCATGTAGTACTAAAATTTACCTTTTAATTATACCTATGCCATATTTTCAGAACTTCAACAGAATATCAAATGTTTTTGCTAGTACATCAGGCATTTTAGACATAACAATCTTTCTGTTACCTATCGTAACCTTTTGATAATTCTACTTTTCAGAGAAGAAAAAGTGAAATGAACATAATCTTGTAATTTTAAAGTATTGTGGAAGTAATATACAAAACAGTATGAAATAACACAGAATATAAGCATGCTAAAGAACTGCTTTAATTAAAAGCATATTTTAGTTTTATTTTTCTCTTTGTATTATTTTCTCCATTATGTAAATGCAAGCACATATTTGCATTTACAAGGAAACTGAAAGATTAATGTTTTCTATTATATAGGGGCCTGAGTTAATGAATAAATACGTTGGTGAGTCTGAAAGAGCTGTCAGAGAGGTAAGATTATATGTTAAGTGGAGCTCTACATAGGAGAACCTTACTTCCATTCTTCCATATGATTTCCAAAATGGTGTCCTTTGAAATCTTTCTTTTAAAATTGATATTTCCAAATCTAAATTCTACTGCTGTAATTTTTCTTCGGGTACAATATTATTTTATTATATAAAAATTAATACATTGTCTGGAAAACATTGGGTTCTTTAAAATATCCTAATATTGCTATCTCTTATTTTCACCAAATAAACCTTTAAAGAAACAAAATTACTGCCAGTTTATTTAAGAAACAAATACAGAACACACACACAATGGAGAATGCATAGTCTGACTGAGATTTAAATCCTTCAAACTAGATAACCCTTTAAATTGAATAAGTATAATACAGTGAAACCTCTGGCAGCCAGAAGTTGACAGTACTGGCAGGTTTTTTCCAGATCTCTTTAAGTTTTCCACCTCTGTGGTCTTAGCACTTTTAAGTGGAAAATTTTTTATATTTAAGTCTTAAAGTTCAGTTCTTATTCTTCTGCATTGTAGACATATGTTCATTTTATGGATATTAAAATTGAGGTTTAGAAAAGTAAAGTAGCCTGCTGCGGGTCACGTGGATAGCAAGTAGTGGACTGAATTATAACAGGTTATCTTTCTAAATTGATTGTTTAACCAAATTGTTTCCTACACATCTATATGATGGGTAGTTTGGGCTCTGTTTATGAGCAAGCAACATGGAAAAAGGTACCTTTAAATCCTTTAGAAATCCCACCCTGGACATGTTTTTTAAGGTGTACAAAGTGATTTGACAGGTACATAATAGAATTGATGATCCAATTTCAACTACAGTTTTCTGATCTTTAGTTAATGTGCCTCTCTTTCCCCTAGATTTTCCGCAAAGCCAAGGCAGTAGCTCCTTCAATTATTTTCTTTGATGAACTTGATGCCTTGGCAGTTGAAAGGGGCAGGTAAGCATTATATGGAGTGTGCCTCTGTGTGTGTGTGTGTGTGTGTGGTGTGTGTAATATACTCTCAATACAAATTTTGTCTATTGAAACATTAGGCCAAAAGATAACATTTTCTTCATCTTGTATAGGTTTTTTCCCTCATTTTCCCATTAAGTTTTTATACTGTATGATCTTTGCATGTCCATTTTGTTTGGTGGTGGGGCAGGGTTCACCAATATCACACTTTTGACATTCGTTGTTTTTTTTGTTTTTTTTAAATTATTTTTTTTATTTTTTTATTTTTTAACATTTTATTAGGGGCTCATACAACTGTTATCCCAATCCATACACACATCAATTGTGTAAAGCGCATTTGTACATCGTTTCTCAAAACATTTT